GTGTTTGCTGCACACCAACAAGTTAACAACTGCTGAACCGCATCATATATGTATGTCACAATACGATACTAATTTGTACATACATAATTTACATTATTTTCATTTAACAAGCGAAATTCTTCGACAGGGATATGCATTGAAGACATAATGTATTTATGATTATAGTAGTTTCTCGTAGTACTAATCGTGGTACCACTGCAAAGTGTGCTCCAGATACCCACGAGACCGCAAGGAAACCCTAAAGCAGAGGTAGTGACACGCTATATAGACAAATTTTACACCTCATTAACCGAATGCGTGAATTCCAGATAGATCAGCAATTGCCAGCAAGTACTGAGCAAGTACTTAGGCCACAAGCCAAAGGACAAACCACCGCGCTTTGTCGCATTGTCATCGGCAGCTAACTGCTTGGACAATTGTTGAAATTGAATTATGTTTATTTGATGTTTTGGTTTACTCGCAAATTAGCTACGTCAATGTCGTTCGCACCCCGCCGTCCGTCGCCCATCTCGGATCGTTGCCGCCCAAGTAAGTCGCGTGTCCTGCATGCGCTGCCTGACCCGAGGCGCGAAAAACCAATGCGGTATGTGAAAGGGAACAATACTTGTATGTCGGGGCGGATGCGGATGCGCAAACCTTTTCATTACCAGCAAATTTGTTGGCACACGCGTCCCTGCAGTCGCCACACGACCTGATGACAGTAATCAGGTTTGATGCAGAGCCGAGCACTCAGGATGACGATTGAGAACGAGATAGCGGCAGTCGAAATCTCGAAACTGACATCCTTAAGTGAAATCTTGTTACAAACCAATGTAAACACTATTGTTAACTTCAGTTTTTATAATCGTTGCAACCCCAGCCCTGGTGCATACATCCCCTATACATTCTGTTCACGGTCGCTGTCGGGAGATCCGTCATCTAAGGGGTATACCTTTACGGCCACACCACAATTAAATTATCGCATTTCAGACGAGTGCGCAATAATCGTCCGAACCAATTCCGATGACTGTGGGAAATATGGAAAAATGAGTTGTTTATAAATTTACATTTTGGGAATTTTAAAATCAACACATTGATTAGGCTTATAAATGGTGAAAGGGGTTGGGCAGAAAGAATGTACTCGGGTACGCTTCATTTTTGATGCCTGGCATATTTGTTAAATTCTTCCAGGCTTGCAAACAACACCAACATGCAACAATTATTAACAACATATACAAGTACAAGTTGATTGCCAATGTTTTGCTTCATCCTTTATTAATAAAATAATGATAACAGAAAATATAACTCAAGGGGAAATTAATTATTTCAGGAAGAGTCAAAAATCAGCATGTATTGCAATTGATACACTCTACTACAATTATTACAGTATATATTACTATTACTTTTATTATATATCTATTATAAATTAAAATAAAGATATGTTTTCATATTACGTTATAATTTAAGCTTAAAAGATAAGAAAAACTATGAAAACTGTACAATAACGTCTATTGATGCCTCCGACTCGTTGGGTAAATTTTATGTGCCCTTTGGCCAGCTATGCCCCTATTCACAGCCATATATGGCCAGAGACATTGTAGACCTAAGTAACTAATCAAATAGTAGTAGTAAAAAGGGTATATAAGGTTTGTGCAAAGTTTGTAACGCGGAGAAGAAAGCATATCAGACACCATAAAGCTAATATACTTATTCTTAATCGATCTCATGTCTGTTTCTGTGCAACAATGCCTTAATAAAAAGTGAGACCTATATCGAAATTGGAAAGAGATCCGAGGGTACTATACCATGTAATCGCAAACTTGCCCGGCACCACAGATTGGGAATGATGCGCTTGAACCAAAATAATCAACAGCCATTTCAAACAGATAACAAAAACAATAAAATGCACAACAAATAAGTGCACGACGACATCCATAAATATAAACGCATAGAACAATATTGGGTGTCGCTTTACACGAACATTGAGCGGCAGCCTAGCCAAGGGAAGCTCAAATTATTGGATCGAAATGTATGTAAAAATAGTGCGGGTTTTAAAATAATAATTATTGTATATATGTATGTATATGCATGTATATGAGCGCACAGATCTATTGTATATGCACTGTGGGGTTGCACTGTTGCCTCGTTTTGAAAAACCAAATTAAAAACCACAAGGCAGCAAATATGTTAAATATACTTGTACAATATATTATACAAAATTTCGTAAATGGCGAAGCCCACAAAATTTTTTCCATACTGTCCATAGTTCCAAAGGGCAAAGAATTTTGCAAACTAAAAAACAGGTCTAGGAATATTTCAGAAAGTAATAATATTATGTCACCCACTTCCATAAGTACTTCATGTAATGTTTACTTTGGAAACAGCGGTTGAGTTAGGAAGCGGTGAATACGAAAATTAAATTAATTGAGATACATCGATCTAATTAAAATATGAATATGAACTTGATGTTTTCGTAGAAAAGTTATAAATGGCTTTAAATTAATGGTATAGCCCTATTCAAGCCCACCTTTATATAGGCTATTAATTAAGGTAAAGGTATATTTATTCTTGATCAGAATTATAAGACGAGTCGACTTAGCCCTGTCCGGGTGTCTGTCTCAGAAAATATACATAAGAGCTAAAGGCACAAAATTTTTCCCATTTTGCTGTGCAACATTTTTAGGGGAATATCTAAAACTTCGTTCCTATAATCAGCTATATCTCGGAGATTATAAGCGCTTTTTGATCCCAGATACCCTATATACATAAGTACAATTCTATTTCAAAATTTTCCTGCACACATGCTCACAGGCAGAGACAATTCCGATGTAAATGTAATGACTTCTTACGTGAGTTCGAATACCCAAGGAGGCATAATTAATCAAAAAACTTTGTTTGTTTAATACATTTTAAATTTCAACGTTATTTTCAATTTTCATAACTTTTTCAAAATTTCTTTAATTTCTATACACATTGCTTTAAAGTATATAAACTTCAAATTTTCCAATTGTTTTTAAGAAAACTTAATTAGCAAAATGCTACAGCAGCTATGTACGCTTTGAATTCTGTTACCATTTCTATTAATCCATTTCAAGCAAATAAATTTTGAAACACTTGCATTGTTTTTTCATAGCTGTTTTATTAAATCGAAACTCAAAATCAAAATTACATTTTCTAGCGGAACTCGGTTTTGTGGGTTGTAAGTATAGCCCTTGTAAGTAAGTAAATAAATTCAATATCATTACAAATTACATGTTAATTTTCCTTCTCATTATCATAATAAGTGAAAGTGGTGTTGGCTTACATTTTTAAAATAGGCATATACTAAATTTTTTTTGGGAATTACATTAAAGGGTTTGCAAAAATAAATCAGCGCTGTAGATTCTGGCAAGCTAAAAATGCATAAGTACGAGCACCTTTATCCATCCCATGAAAAACTCAAGTGCTTTAGTCTCTCCAGCAATGCGCATCTGAAACATATCGATTAGTGTTCTGCAGGCCACACTTCTGAAGTTGTGCGGTTAATAGCCGCAGCAGCAGCGGCACACGACCGACCATCGCGCTCTCTTTTACTGGATTATCCATACCGAACCAAAGTCACCCCAACCCTCGAGCCCCGACCCACAATTGCGACCGCACTGAGCATATGCTGCGGCAAATAGAACTGCTTGAAGCAATTGTCTGCGAAATTGTTTGTTTATTTTGATGTTGTTTAATGCGTTCCAAATCTAAATCCGTGTCAGTTTTTGCGGTTGCGATGCCATATCCTGGGAAAAGTAAACAAGCTCTTGGGGAGACGAGGTGAGTTGATTGCGGATGCCACACAAGCCATGGGGTGTGATTCTGAAAGCTCTTCTCGCCTGGCTTGGCTTGGCTTGGCTTGTGATGAGCTTTTGGTAAAAGCTTGGTGTGAAACGCGACTGTGTGGAGCTTTCTTGGCAGCCCTACAGTAAACTGTCGACTGAATGAAGCTTCTTGGGGGTTCACAAAGTTTGACTGTTCTATTGGTTTGAGAATATTCAGATAGGTATGAAAACACAAGATTTTGATTAGGAATATCCCAGTCCAAGGATTATTTTGTAGCTTAAACATATTTTTAAACAATCTTATATATAAGTATACTTTTATGGTTTTAACAAATTGTAGGACTTATCATTAATATGATAATTTGCATTCGGGGAAGCATTTTGTTGTTACCTCCTTTGCTGAAAGTCCATACTACTACATACTACTTATGAAATATTTCAGCTATAAGACAATTTGTTCGTATATGCACATACAAGTATGCATGTACATACATACATATGTAAGTATGCACATGTATGTTGTATGTATGTTGTCAAATAAATATAGCCATGGAAAAAGCCAAATGTTATAGCGAAATATTTGGCAAAAATAAACGCTGACCGTCGACTGGCATTAAGTGAGGGGCAACAGACTATTTAGTCAGTCAGTCGCAGTCCGCCGCCCAGCTCGCACGTTTCGCACGAAAAACAAACAGAAGCAGTTAGAGACTGAGGCTCAGGTCTGTCCACTCCCGTGTCCGCGTCCACGTCCACGTCCGCGTCCGCGTTCAGCCGAGTCAAGTGAGCGACCAAGCACCCAGATCCATCGCCTACGCCCCACACCACTCTGTCGTTACGAGTCGTCAAGTTGTCGATGCGTCAGTTCGTCGAGTCAAGTCGAGTCGAGTCGGTCAAGCAAAACGCGCGCCGCGGCGCGGTGTGTCACCAAAACGAGGCAAACGAGGCTTTTGATAAAAAATATTTAAAAAATGCCAAATACCAATCGTGCCAGCACGTTTCCCACATAGTGTTCATAGGCCCATGGATGTGAGCAGAGCAATAAAAACGTGATTTTTTCGTGGATAAAACAAGCAAAAACAATATACATATCTACAGATTTAAAAAATAAATAAAAAGGAAAAGAGAAAACCTGTGGTGCGATTCCAGTAGCCCAGCATTATCGATAGAGCCGAACAAATCGCATTGCGTTCCAGCAATTAAAGCATGACGGATGGTTAGGGGAGGGGCTCTATAGTGACTGCCGGTGATAAGACTCTATCGAAAAGCTAGCGTAGGATTTTCTTATTCATTTCATTTTGGTTTGTTTTTTGTGATTAGTAGCCTTGTCCCATAGAGCAGCGTCAAATCGTAAATTACGCGCAAAACATTTATTATTGCGTTCGCAACTAATAATAATTAGTATTTGTTTATCAATAAAATTAAATCGAGTATATAGAGCGATCAAAATGCAAAATCATCCGTGCAATGACGTAGCTCAACGATTTGATTATTTGGAACTCGCTGACAATGAAACGGCAGACCACCAACGGCAGCAGCAACAACAACAAATACCGCTACTGGGGCATAAAGGCCAGAATGTTGCAAAAAGTAAGTATCAACTTTTTAAAACACCTTACCTCCCTCCAATTGCATACTTACCTATGCAAAGTTGAACCCGCCAACTTGGCCACAACAAACTGTTAAGAACACACACACACACATACATGTATATGTATGTATATATGCAGATACTTCAGGCTATAAATCAGTGACACTTGCAAAGTTTCAAAGCGGCAATTGTTGTAGAATCAAACTGCTACATTCCTCTTGTCTTCTAATCAAACAAATTATTTATCTGTTAATTTATTGAAATCGTGTCACGTCAATAACTAATTAGAATATACAGTAGTCATTGCCTGAGGGTACATCAAAATGTATTCCGTTTGCTGCAATCAGTGCTGTTTATTGGGGTCCTAATAAATCGGTTTGGCTTGAGATTCTTACCGATATACTTGTAATTAAGTGTTTTTGGCTATGGAGTATTTAGAAAAATGAAAAGTTGTTCTATTAAGTGTTCTCAAGAATTTGTTATGGATATACATATATATACATATATATTTTTCCGATGTGGATACACAAAAGCATCACCATATTATAACATCAGAAATGTTTGCGACGTAAGGCTTTTCACTAACCTGTTGGCTTAATATTTTTTGCTTGAGTTCCGTTTCGATGGAAGTTTTCGCATTGCCCTGATGTGTACAAATAATAATCGGAAATGTTTATTTATTTATTTCTGTTTTTTTATTTTATGTCAACAAGCAGTGACTGTCGACATAATATTTTTATTTGAAAGTAGCCACCACTGTCACTGTTGGCTGTGTCAAATTTTCATTTTTTTCATTGCCTACATATGTATGTACATAAGGGGGGTTGTGTTTTGTGAATATCTAAAAGATAATTTTTCCATTTTTACAATGCCCTTAATTATTCAACAAAGAAGTTCCTTTGAATATTTTATAAGGAATGGAGTTTCTGCAGACGAGAAAAGAGTGTCGCAGAAGGTTTTCAACAAACAAGCTATGTCAAAAACAGAATGGCTTAAATTGTTTAAAGAGGGTCGAGAAAGCGTTGAAGACGAACCACATTCAAGAACTAAGAGCTGATGAAAAACACGCTAAGCAAATTAAAGAATTTCCCCAAATTCCAAGTTCTAATAAAATTGCTTTGGCTATTAAGTGGTGCTGACTAGCATTTAGAAAAATTGACTTAATTAAGTTTAAAGGAGCAGGAAAAATGGAAATTATAATATTGTATGTAAAACCCTCAAAAAAATATATATTACAATAATATATATTAAGCGAATTGAAGTATTTTATAAACTGGAAATTTAAGTTAAGGTTCCGTTAAGATGGTAGTGTCACGATTCGAAGAAGAGCCTCCTCTAGAACAAACTTACACTATTGGATTCCTGCTAGCTCGTTGAGTTATGTCAGGCCCTGAAAAGGGCACTTTAATATATGTATACATAAAATTCGAATAATTAAGAACATCACATATTTTAGGGAAAACTAGCAAATCTTTTGAGTTAGTTTGATAAAACGTCTGCTGTTTCATTAAATTTGTTAGGATCGCTGCTGCTAAACATATTCGTTCAGGAGTGGGGCTTTGCTTAATCGAAGTGTCTCAGATAGTTCTCTACTTTAGTAACCTCTTATTTTAGCTCAAGAATTCCATTCGCTTAGATTTAAAACAAACTTCATTTTTATAACAAATACAAATATAATTTAAATTGTCTTCGGCGGGCTTGAGATTTTTAAATATTATATTGTGAGCAAAATGTTAATATTATTATTTCATATTCATTTCATCCAACCGACAATTCCTACTTCTTCACACACGCACTTTACATTGACCTTCAAGTAATTGAAAAATATTTTCGCTTACTGACGAATCGAATTTGCAAAAACTTGTCTTATAGTTCAAAAAACACAATGGTCTCATTGGACTTTAGAAAAATTCTTCGAAATATGTTTACGAAAATGTTTAATTTAAATTTTTTAGTAAAGTGGAATTTTTGCAACTGATGTTTACTGTAGATTTGTGAGCAATATTGAGCTGCGTTTCATCTGTCAAGTGCCTCATGTCGTCCGCTTGATTGTTTTGCTTCATTGATAAAAGCAGGCCTTGCCCCACAGCTTGGATGTATTATCGCAAGCGATACGTTCTGTTCGATTTATCTATCTACACATAGTAAATACTTATATAGATGCTTCCCAAAATTTGCCCTTCTTTAAGTTCTTCAGGCTTTTTTGGGTGACTATATTCTATTAGCAATTATATTCAATGCTCTAAATGTTAATTAATTGTGCCCACTTGACTACTAAAAACAATTTACGCGAGCTATTGTATTTATAAGTATGCTGAAATGTCAGTGTCAATAGCATACCTAAACAAAAACAATAAACACTCTTTGGAATCGGCATCACAGCACCATCAAAAATAATAACAAAAAGTGTAAACAATTAATATTGCCCCACACGGAATCTTTTGTACTCTTTAAAAAACCAAACGTATCTATAGTAAGTGCCGTTGAAAATCAATTAGTTTCGAACAACTGGATTAGCATTGAAACAAAATAAGTTAACTCTACGTCGATCTGTTATATTATTTTCAGCTGTAAGGTCTCACATATATTTCAATTGATTACCAATAAAACAGGAAAAGGAAATGTACCGGGCGTAATACGTATTAAAGCGTCCCTTATATTATAAAATGTACTTACAACCATGTATGGTGACTTTTTCTAATACACATATGTATGTATGTAGTCTTTTATTTGTAGCCTGAAACAATATACATATATATAAAAATATATAATACATACGTGTACTACATGGTACGACCATCCAATGCATTCTGAAAATGTGTCTGACTTAATTTGTAATAATTTGCGTTTTAATTTATTTTTAATGTTGTTCAATTTTCTATATTTATAATTTTTTTTATTTAAATTCCTATGTTTTGTAAAATATTGACTATTTAATTTAAAAGTTCGTATTTGGCGTGGAGAGTGTGAAATCTGATCAATGGAGACTGATGATACACTGTACATAAAATGTACAGGCAGAAGGAGGCGTGGCAGACCCCAAAAGTATTTAAATTCTTGATCAGCATGACAAGACAAGTCGATCTGTATCTGTCTGTCCATCTGTCCGTATGAATACCTGGATCTCAGAGACTATAAGAGCTAGAGACAATTTTTTTTTTTTTTTTTGGCTTACGCCCCCTTCCCTGATAATGGGGATTTAACGTAACGCTGTTCTAGGGACACCAAATTTTAGTCAAAGATGTCTTACATGAATATGCAGAAAATGTGTAATATTAGTAATTTTCCATAACTTCTCAAATTTTTGATTTCGAATTTTTGGTTTCCTTTTTTTAATTTTGTAATATTTTTTATTTTTATAATTAAAATACAATAATTATTATATATATGTATGTTTATATATAACGTATCGTTTTTTATATTGGAATAACATAATCTTTAATTAAATATTGCTTTTATAAATCAGCAAAACAATACGTTTTGGAAGGATAATGTTTAATTGCGGGTCTAGGTAAAGTTGATGGGTGGGTTGTGATCCCTTTTGTTTCTTATGATAGATAAGAGTTAAACGAATTTATATTCGGTTCCATGTGTGTGTATTGCCTTTTCTACAAGTATGTGTGTGTGCTTTTCAGGAGACTAAAGGATTAGAGCGCATCATTTTCATACATATGTACATATGTATGTGTATGTACATTACTCACATACATACAAGTATGTATTGTATATCATATTTTAAATTTAGTTCTTAATGGGGCATTATTATTGTGTTCTGCTATGAGGAAGAGAAAAATTAGAGTACTCTGTTTAGCTAAGAGTATGCAAAATGTGTCAATAGCGGGCATTCAACAAATTGTCAGCATTCTTTTTGATGTGATCTATCAAGCGAATTGCTGTTGACACCCGTTGCTGATTACCGGCGGGGCACGTGCCGGCTATGTATATTTGTATGTTTACAAATGCACATAAATACACATTCATACATACACACATACATGCATATATACCGTCTGTATTTATAATTAAGTGAATGATTCAGTATCAATGCAACTTAGATTCACACAAAAATGCATTGTACACGTACGGTAATAGCTGATTGATTAAAATTTCAGCAATTAAGCTTAAAATTATGACCCATGGCGCTTTACAAAGTGTCAAACGGTAAAACGATGCCGGCGATTAAATAACAACAAACGAGGCACGCAGCCAGCAACAGTTTTGCGCGCCAATAAGGGAAGCCAAAGAGAGAGTGAGAGAGAGGGAGAGACAGAACGCCAATGGGGACTGAAGGTGAGGGCAAGAACTTAAGAGTAAAAACGCTAAGAAGAGTGCACAGGTGCAGTCGTCGAATGCGTCGACGTCGACGTTGGCGATGGCGTTGGCAGCAACAAAGAATGGTCCAAGCAGCATCCATACAACCACACACACGCACATATACGCACACACACAGTTAGCATAGTTGGACGGAGCTCCACTGGCAGCGTTGTTGGCGTCGTCGTTGCCGTCGACGCGTTACTCTGCAGGAGGCAAAGCCAAAAGTTATAAAAGTTCTTCGCAATTCGCACGAGCGCTCAGTTGTTCTCGGTTATTCGTTGTGTGAACTTGTGCGAAGCGAAGCAGTCGCAGTCAAAAGGTATTGAAAAATAGTACGAAGCACTCACAATTTGTTGTTTAATAGCAAACGGCAAAGCAAAGCCACTAGCAGGAAGTTGTGCGATAAAAAATATAACACGTAACAGTGACCACTAGCAGCAGCAACAGAAACAGCAACAGCAACACATACAAATAATGACAGACGACACGGGTGCGTAAGCGCCTTGGATTTTGGATGGTCCACTGCTTATAAAATTGAAATACATAAATAAATAAAACAGACACAAAATCCAAAAAAAAAAGAACGAACTGAACAACCTAGGAAGCTGCGAGCTGGCATAAATCTAAGACAACAACAAGACCTATTGCCTATATACACAAATATGTGCCCAGCCAGACATACACT